GATAGAGCTTTTACGGTAATTGTTGGGATCAAAACTGCAGCAACATGTAGACGAGAATGAAAAGAGGGATTGCTTCTTTTCCATTGAATTTTCACCAGACCATTATCCGATTTCTATTAATGTTAGTCCGTTCAGACGAAGGACAGCAAGGACACTCCTTCTTTACTCTCCTTCTATTTATTTGCGGATGATACCAACATCTAATTTGAAGCTGAAAGTCTGGATATGCTGCAAAGAGTAGTTAATAATTAGTTAAAAAAGGTAAAAAATGGTTAGATGTAAACAAGTTGTCACTAAACGTTAATAAAACTAATTTAATAATATTTAAGTCCCCGCAATATTCATCATCAGAAACAGTAAATATAAAAATTGGAAATGAACTGATACAGCAATCTAGGTATGTAGAATTCCTTGGTGTTCTTTTAGATGAAAATCTTAGTTGGAGATATAATTTATCTGAACTAATTGTCTAGAACATGTGGCATATTTTTCAAGGTAAGATAGTTTCTTCCACTTGATGTTCTGATCTGTCTATACAATTCACTGTTCTCTTCTTTTCTCCAGTATGCTATAATAGCCTGGAGCTTTACACATGTTTATATCAAACCTATTTATCTGCTGCAAATAAAAAATGGTAAAAGGCATTGCCTTTGAACATTTCACTGCCCCCTCCGCTCCTATCTTTTCAAACTTGAAGATTTTGAGGCTTGAAGATCAACAAGAACTATCAAATTTGATTCTGAAGCAAAATTCATTGTCTTGTCACTCATGTAAATGATTAATTACATTCAAAACCACCTTAGAAAAGGGGGTGCTCTCTCCTTGATTAGTTCATCTTCTGAGAGAGCTCCTCCTAAATCAATTCCCCTACAAACAACATCTTAGTAATCGTTATTTATTGTTATAAAGGATTTTTATGTAATGTATTAAAATTGTTTGTGATTAATTTTAATGTAGAGTAATAAGATATTGTAAGTTGAGGAATTTTAAAATATAAAAAAACTGAACTGAACTGAGACAGGAGATTAATTGTTGGGTAGAAGGTGCATAGAAATGGGGAGCGGTTGATCAAGTAGACGGAGAGAAAAACCGTGTCATATCTCTTCGTGAGTCCCTTTTTAAGTGGAAGTGACGGAGTGAGTTCGTCATGAAGAGAATGTTGCGGTACAAGTTCGGTATAAAAAGAAAGTGATGGTGTGAGTTCGGTAAAAAAAGAGTGATGGTGCGAGTCCGCTATAAAGGAAATGTGGCAGTGTGAATCCAGTTTGAAGAAAATTTGACGGTATGAGTCCGCTATAAAGAAAATGTGGTAGTGTGAATCCAGTATGAAAGAAAGGTGACGGTGTGAGTCCGCTATAAAGGGAATGTGGTAGTGTGGAGAGTGGTTCGAATGCTGCAAACTCTGTAGTGGCAGAGCCAGTATGGTGATGATCGAAGAGTGAAGAGCAGTGCTATCATATCCAAGTATAAATAATGATAATGATATCATTTTGTATACCTTGTAATAACCAAGTCAGTTTGACTGAAATATATATAGACATAAAAGGGCATTGTTTGGTTAGCTGTTCGGGTAACACGAATAAACTAGAATAATTTCACCCCAAAGAAGGCTTAAGTCTTAAGTTCATGGGTCTTCAAGAGTCTTAAGGAGCAGGTCTCTCCCTGAGTTTTCACAAGATAGAAGAATATTCAGAATAGTTTGTAGTACATACACACAGAGACACATACACAGGGAAAACTCAAATACAAACACGAAAGTGATGAAGTCAATTGATTTTCATTTCTCTGATTTATTTCCACCTCTTTAAATAAAAACACTATTAGATCAAATAGGAACGCCCAAAGCAATGCAAACACTTTTCGAGAAGACTTTTTAGCTAAATGTTGACATTCGAAGAACCACTGATGAATGAGATTGGGGGTATCGAAAAAATGATACAGTTCGGCAATACCTTGTAAATGCCATCTGTCTAGGCCATATCTTGATCTACGCGGACTTTGATATGATTCAAACGACCGAAACATGGCAAGTACACAGAGAATGACCAGATTTACTGAATGGGTATATCATACTTAGTCATGATCTTAAATCTTCAAAACTGAATAAAACATTTATAGCTATGTTTAGGTCCGCTGAGATTTAGACTGAGTTAATCGGTCCAATCTTGCAGATATTTGCTGCCGGGCTGAACACAATCTTCATACATCTCGAGAACTTTTAGTATCCCAAACGTGTTGCATTACAGTGGGACCAAAATTTACTCATCATCACAAACAGCAAAACAGGGCAGATTTTACTGACGAGGAATCGAGAAGTAAACACTGAACAAAATACAACTTCAATGTGTTTACAAGATGCAGAAAAAGGAACGATAATAATCTTATTGTGAAGGGTACATTCTCAAAGAGCTGGTGGGTCACTGAACAGTGGAAAATACGGGGGTACATTCAAAGGGCAAGTGCACATCTGCTTTGCAAAAATGAGTGGATCTCATTACTGGCTCCGCTTCTTAGTAAATGCCTTACTTGACAACGTTCTATCAGCTGGCAATTAAAAAGTCATTGCAGTACACCCTTCTAAATATTCCGGACTTGGGCACTGGGAAACGGGTAGATCGGAATCAAACAACGCACAGCTAGGGCATATGTTGTCCATTAGACTCATAATTCATGTTGATTCTTTCATGTGGGAAGTACTTCCGAAATCACAATCACCAGTGAATATTAGGTAACATTTCATCTAGATCCAAAATTACCAAGATGGTAGAATTGTTTCAGATACTTTTTTATCATCATGGTGTTTATTCTCCAGAAACGAAGGAAAATGCACCTTCGAGTTAGCATTCCACAACACCTGAGCTCCTAAAACGGGTAATAATTATGTGGTGTCAAGCTATGAAAAGAAGTTCAAATTAGCATCAAGTCCCATATTGGCGAACTCTGACAAATAATAACGTAAATTAAAAAATATCGTCCAAGCAGCACGCAATGTACTGAAAATTCCTCTATTTACATATTTACAACATCAATAAAATAAAGATCGATCATTCTGGCGATTGTCAACTTTCACAGTATGAAACCAGCAATTAATTTCAACGCCTCTTTGCAAACCCCAGTTTTATCTAAATTGACTATCCCCCATGTTGGTATGCAGTTTGGCAACATGACATTATAAATTCAAATGGGGGTTCTGAATCTGGCGTATCCTTAAGGTTGATGACAAAAATCCCACGATTTTAAAACTATGCGTGTAGGTTTACTGTAAAAGTTGAATAGTTGGCATATGTATAAACATCTTTGTCAAATTAAATCCCCTAAATTGTAAATGAAAATGTAGTTTAGAGAATAGTTGTGTCCTGGGAATCAATGACTACTCATATTAACCGGGGTTTTGCAAGGAGGCTTCTTCAACTTTACAACCTTGCATATTTGCTTCTAGCATCCAAGCTTCGTTACTTTGGTACATATTTTACAACATTGTTAAAAGTATTTTTGAATAATTTTAACAAATTATGGAGAGCACTGTTAAGATTAAAGTTGGCTGCAAAAACAGTCAAAAGCGTCTTTGCATTCAGTGTTCCACTCAAAAGTCAGCACATCTGCAAAATGGCGGTCATCAACTATCAATCGGTAGGTGCCAGTATTGAGGGTATCAAGGTCATAAAGTGACAGTTGAGATTTATTAATCCAGTATTAGCAACCCCTATGTCTGCAGTAAACGATGTAGCAAAGGATGCAGTTTATAATGTACCAGCAGTTGCAGTCACCCACATATCAGCTGTTGCAGTCAACAATGTGCCAGGTGCTGTAGTGAACAACATACCAGTGGATGGAGTCACAACTCGCCACACGTTGCAGTCAAAAAAGCACCAGATGGCAGGTGTCTACAGCATGCCATAGGTGCAAGGCATTAGAAGATATGCAATGCACAAACTGACATGCATGACATGTCCTGGGCACAGGGAATGTGACTGGTCGTTTCTGCTCATTCCCGTCTTTAGATGACGTCACTTGCCGGTTATTACGTCTTGATGTGAGTAATGTATCTACCACTTTCACTGGATCCCCTTTCATCCATTTCTGTGGCAAGTTTTGTAGTGTCTGTATGATTTGGTGTAGAGCCGTTACTTGGCTTGCTGCGTTCTTTTTTCATAAGCGGTTTGGTACTGTCTGTCTTTTTTAACCTGCTCGGTTTATAAAAGGCACTGTGTGGCTTTTTACTGTCATTTTCCATACTTATATTTAATGTACCTTTTTTGCCATCAAACTCATCTTCTTCATCTGTATCACGTTCTCTCCGTTTGGTTATATGCCGACAGAAAAAAAGTAAATTTGCAAACAATAAGATGAGGAATAGGCATAGAAACACCAAAAATGGTGCGAGGTATTTGTTGCTGTTGTCTGCTCTGGTAGCTCCTCTTCGACCTGTAAACAAAATAACTGTTTAAAAATGAAGAACAACTTAGCGTTGGGAAGAAATAAAATATTTTGAAATCGATCTTACAAAAACGATTTTATTGATAAACAGCACAACATTAATTTTCTAAATGCTATAAGTGCCGAATTAAGAAAACATAAAGTAAGTCATAAGAGCTAATGTACTCTAGAGGTACTGCTTTCAACAATATTTACATTACATGGAAGTTTATAGGCGAAATTCTTAAATAAATATCTCAAAAGACGAACTACTTTTACACTCTCAATTACACAAAATGACCAGCTTTTAAAACTAATAATCGTAGTAGTGTATTTTTTCAACACACTAACAGCATCACAGCAATATCAAAGGCGAGATTCAAATGCAAAATTAAATTTGCTCAATCAGATTTTATTTGAAAAACTGTGAATTTAACTTATTGACCCATTTAACGTAACAACGTAACTTCAGTTAAAAAACTTCATAGTTCCATTTAATGGTTTTATAAAAGAAAAACAGCTTCCTCAATATGCGGCGTTAACTTTTAAAGAACCGTTATTTTTACAACGAAAACAAAAAAGCAAATACCCGGAGTTGCAGGTTTCGCCTGCGTTGACGACTGCCGTCCGGTTGTCGTCTTTGCTGTTGTCATTGTCCGCTCCTCCTTAGTCACAGTTTTCCGCCTTGTCGTTGGAGTCTTATTTGTTTTTATCGTCGTAGGCAGAGTCGTTGGTTTCGTCGTGGTAACTATAAGAGCAAGAAAATCACCTGTAACATAGTTCTACAACATAAGCATTAGAGAATGAAAATTAAGAAAAAAAGAACTTATTCAGCTTCTTCGGCGGGATTCTGAAAGCAGCCCAAAGCGTGTTGCCAGTGAAACTATCAAAATGAGCAAGTCCAAAACTTATGAACGACTCCATATTTTTTTACTGATTTTAAAGATTTGTAGTTGGATTTCTAAAATTAATGTAAATCAACATAAGAACAGGCAATAAACAGGAAAACATAGAAACACTTATTTGATTTTTAAAAATAATCAGTACAACATGGCGACAATTCACAAACTCACATGCAGGATAGTTTTTACTATTCACATAAGAACTGGAGGAAAGAGCACTATGCAAAAAACCAACAAAGCACAGATTATAACACAGGGACTACCTCGACCTTTGCCCTTTGAAAAACAGTGTAAAAAAAGTTTCACTCCTCGAATAACATCAAGCTGATTATTCAAAAATGAGAGGTAGTGGCATGTGGGATGAAACATCAAAATAACTGGTCATAAACTTTACAGGTTTACCACATTTTCTTTTGATATTAATGTGCTCTTCCCAAGTTACTAGTGCATTTTCGATATTATAAAAATCATTATACTTCATTATTACTTCATAAAGATTAAAGTATACATAGTATAAATTTACATAGGTGCGTTTTAGCAACGATTTAAATACAGAAGAAGAAGTATTATAATTGCTGGGATTCAAGTACATTAAAGTTTTCAATTCTGTAGATTAGATTCAGCAGGTTAATTGCTAAGGTCAACAAACAAAATAAATGAGGAAATATCGTTAGTCATTGTAACATTGTATGAAACTGTAAAATTCTTGCAGAACAATTATGTTTAAATTATGAAGATGGATGCAGTTAAGAGCAAGTTGTTTGAAAGTGGATTTATCTCTGACTTCAGGTTCATTAATTCCAAATAAAAAAGCTATTTCCGAACTCAATATCAATAACTTAGAATAAACAGTGAATAAATACAAAACTAAATAAACAGGTTTATTAAATAATTATGATATAAATACAACAAAAAATCGCACCAAAAGACAGAAAATAATCAAACAGTGTGCAGTGGCCCAGTTTAGCTTTGACAAATACCAAAAACATGGAAAAAATTGCATTTTTTTAAAAATGAAGAAATTCTTGCTTCAATAATTTAAATGGATATATGGAAAAAAATTACGAACGTAAGCTCTCATTTTTTAACTGAGATCAAGTCAATAATCTTAAGGAGTGTTGGGGTGTTCGAGGCAATGAAAAGTCATGTTGAAAACACTGATTTTTGCAAAGAGCGAGGGACTTCCTAAATTGTCCTAAATTAAAAATTCTTGTTCTTGTTTGTTAGTTTTTTGCATTGTGCTCGTTAATGCAATGCTAACCTGCCAATGACGTATTTGCACGAGTGGACTTGCTAAAAGTCGTTGTCTTAGTTGTCGAAAGAGTGGTTGGCGATGTTGTTGTTGTTGTTGTTGTGCTTGTTTTTGTAGTAGATGGTGAGGTTGTTGTAGTTGTCGTTATCATGGTTGGTAACGTAACAACTGGACATGTAAAAACGTCATCGCCAAAAGCATTGAATGCAAAAAGGGTAACTCCTGGGTCAATTATAATTGGACCATACTGGCTTATCTTCACCGTTTGATTGCCATTGATGAGTTTTCTCATCGAAGGTAAAGGGTAACCTGTTACCGCACAGCTACAATTGGTTGAGTTTGATACACACTTAGCCTCAGCTTTCTCCCCTGTGAAGGAGCAATACAGCAACATAAGATTCAATTGACTTAAAGCCCTTCATGAGGTACAAACTGTAGCAAAATTGGCACAACAAAGGCCATCATTTTGGACACAGGCATGATCGTGTGCGATGAATTACCAGAGGGGGGACGAATGGCATGGAAATGGGTGTTTACAACAAATAGCGTTAAGAGATATTATAAGTAAATTTTACAATTATATACATTTTGTTAAGATAAACCTATTCAGAGACTTTAAGTTAAAGGTAACTATTTTATTTGCAGCATTTAAAATATTCCTTAATATATAAATAATTACAAATGCTATCATCAATTTGTAAAATTTTTAAGCTACTGAACACGTCATTATGAAGCAAATTTTATGATTGGGTTAAGGTGAGACATCATTGATACAATAACGGTTATCATTTTAAACTATATTATCAATTTATAAACATTAGATATAAACATTTATTGAATAAACATTATCCCTCCATACTTGTATAAAGATATATCAACAAGAGATATCTTTAAAAGGAACGAACCATCTTTAAAACGTGATCTTTGGCAGCTTAATAAAAATGTAATTCATTGGGACTAATTATATTATAATCATACATTTATTATTGGCCCCTACATATGTTCTATCGATAAAAACCTCAAGCAGTTTAATTCTTTTATCTTAAGGGTTAACGGTTTGTATTTACGTATCTCAAAACGCTTGAAAAATGCATTTCCAGAAATCGTTGATTAATTGAGACAAAATTGTTTGTATCTATTCACAAACTGAGTTGACGGGAAAAATCGTGATTTCTTTGAACCTCAATCGCAAGTTGGTTCTATGGAAATCCACATGGCGGCTGGGAAAATAAAGCTGTGCAAATATTTAATGAAGTCTGATTTCTCCCCAACTTGAACAACAACAACATCACCACCATTGATTTGATCTCAGTGATCGGAAGATTTAAATTCGAGAGCTTTGAATGATTTCTGTGCAATTTCTTATAACATTGATAACCGTAGCAGTTATAAATAAATATTATGGATGTTAATGTAAAGTACAACTGCGAATAGATAATTAAACACGAGTTAACAAGGATTGAAAAATACTACTGTGAGCCGATTTTCGTTTAGAATGTATTTGTGATTTTATGAAGTATTGCCTTCAAGAACCATAGTGTTTAACCAAAAGCACTTTCCAATTCGTGTGCTGTCATTAGAGAGGTCTACGGTAGAGTCAGTTGAAAAACTTCTCTCACGGACAAGAGTCAAAGACGAACGCAAAGTGAAAAATTTATCTATTGTTGGTTAAAAACCGCTATTAAGCCGACGACGCTGGGTTATAAAAATCTAAACTGTAAATGAAACATAATTTTCTTTCATTTTACCGGTTAATTTTAGTTGCTGAGTTAGCTATTATACTGAAACAGATTAAGAGACAGCTTTTTTCATCTTTAGCTTCAGATTATGCAGGAAAGATTTTAAATAATATGGTTAAAAAAAGATGTGGTAGTTGATGGTGGATGGGTGGATGCGTGGACAGATGAAGCTGGCACAGACAGAATGACGGGTACAGTGATCACATACAAACTTGATGTGGTACAGACATTTGGTACAATGACATCCCAACTTACGCTTTGAGCGTTAAGTTTGAATAAAACAACAGACTACCAAGACTTTCATAGCTATTACTACAGACTACATGTGCAGATTTGTTAGTAATTATCCTTAAATAGTAGCAATTTCCTTACGTGAATTACCTATAACGGGACTTGCTGCAACATTGGTGCATATAAAAAGCATATGTTTCATTGAGCAGTCTTAGCTGCTGTTCCATAAGAAAAAAAACGCAATGCGAAAAAAGGGCAGGAGATGCACACGTTAATGGCCCATGAAAATGACACTACGTGCAAGACAAGACGTTGCCACCATTACGTTTACGATAAAAACTGCCACCACACAGTACAAAATTAGCATTTTCAATCCAAATAGTTAGGTTGCCACTTGAGGTGAGTATTCAAACAATGATGTACGGGACGTGAATGCTAATTGGGAAGGCGTAAATGGTGGGAGACGCTTATCAACAAACCTTTAATCGGTATAGAACACTCTGATTTGTTCTTCTCTAGCCCAACAACGCAGCCGTATGTACCAAGCTCTTTCGCTGTGTAACCCTTAATAATCAACTGCTGAGACGATGCATTAATCTGCCTGATTTCATAAATGCTTTGGTCTACGTGAAGGCGCGCCTGGTCTTTCTTCCATGCTAGAACTTTCGGAGCAATCTTACCATGACCAGTGCATTGCAAAGCTGTCCAAGCGCCAGGGATGTTATCGACAATGGTAAGGGAGCATGATATATTCACATCGACTAGGCAACAAAAATGAGATGAGTCATATACGGGTTCTCAGCAGAGCACGCCGATAGAATCGATTTTATGATAATGAATAAGAAAAAACAGAAATGAGATCATGACAAAACTGAAATGGCTGATATCTGATGTTATCATGGCGAAAAATGGCATAACTTATTAGTGTAAAATTAAGGATCGAACTGGACCGAAGCCGACCGAAAAAATAATAAGGAAATTCTGCGCTCTATACGGTTGATCATTTAAAGATTACAGAAAGGATTCGCTCTTACCAGGGCAGTTTTAATCTAAACAAACCGCGGAATTTATAAGTTCGTTTGGCTTTCCACGGGAAATCCCTTTAATCGAGAATAGCTCTTAAAACCAACGCTAGATGTACATATAATTCTACTGGACGAACGTTTTCTGTTCCTTGAGGTTAGTAGGTTAGGAAGGATGAAAAAATATGATTAAACTGTGATTATTCGAATCCAATTCACTTATTACAGACATAAACAAACCTGGAGGACACTTCTTATCGCTGCCTCTCTCCACGTCCTGTATTCGATCGCTGAAAGAAGAAAATTGAAAAATAACAGCTTAGATTACAATCAAAACAGTCTATGCGTACGAATACGACACCCAACAACGAATTCCTGTCATTAATTAGGCCTTACTGAGGTAACTAGATCGATTTTATGGCAGTTGTCTAGTGGGCTTCCCAATGCGTTGGAGCATGTGGTAATCGACAGATGAATTAGAACCAGTCAGATACGCCAGTCATAGTTCTACTTACGAAGGTGCTAGGTCGGCAGTACGCGTGCACTTCTTTTGGCTGATGCTCCAGGCACAAAATGGGTCCCTGGCTTTCAAACAATCCCTGTCGCAAGAAAATTGTAACATTTACAATTCTGTCAATCAGAAGAAACGCAAAAACGACGACGTACATTAGAAACAGTCACATTAGAAAGCACATTGAGTGTTTTGAAGAGACAAAAAGTGAAAGGGCGTTTTTTAGGAAACTGTTTTCTGATTTAATTTTTTTTTAAATTCTTTATATATAACTCTATTCTAAATATGTTTCATATTATTGCTTAAGTACAATGCGGTTGATTTTATTGAACCAAAATCTCATGTGGAGGTGCAAGAAAGTGTGGTTGCAAAATGGGTATAACTAGGCCATCCGTGAGCCATGAGAGAAACCCCCTTGAGGTGAGAGCACAGACACAAGGGGGACTCCTCCAGTTCGGCATACGTACGAAGCGAAGAGTGCAATTAGAGGGGTTAAAAAAGACTAAACCTGCACTAGTGCATGAATATTTTCAAAAAGTAGTTTTAAAAAAGTTGCTATGTTTAGTGAGAAACACAGAAAATACTGTCTTTACCTGCACATGAGGTATTTCGATTCACATCTCTCTTTATCGACTCTGATCAAGTTGATGTCCTTTCCAGATGCGATGACGTATTTCTATATAAAAAGAATAAATTTGAGGAATTGGGACAGCTGCAAAGCAACAAAACATTGAAAGAATTCACGGCTCACATTCAACAGTTTACTTGCCTCGAGAAAAGGGGGTGGGTAAAGGAAGATACATTTCAAATTTTGGTCTGATGAAAAATACAAAACCTAGACAATGAAAAACACAACCTTGTTCGTGTAAAATTCAAAATGAAAGTACGGTACTTAAAAGGGACAAAGCACAAAATTAATCACCTCAGTCAAATGTAAGGATGTTATGGCTCCTCTTCCCTAAAAGAAAAATTGAAAATGCACAGGATCAGAAAATATGATTGAATTAAACTGTTTTTAATAATCATATTAAGATCAAAGACATATAGCTGAAGCACCTACACAACGAAACAGGTTGCCGAGTTGTTTTCTCCACCCCCCCCCCCTGATTACAGCTCTATTGTTGTCGTTAAAAAAATTAACCAGCACATGTTGCACAGTCATTTTTAGCCCGGTAATCAGAATTGTAAGGAGGAAAGAGAAAAAGAATATGCAGTCATGCTGAAAAGGACGTTAGAGATTGGGATCATCCACTTGTTTACAGTTACACCATCATGTTCCTGATGTAATGTCTTAAGAAACAATACAGAAAAAACCTAATTCTGATGAATGTTACCACAGGTGAAATATCATCTGCAAAAATATAAGGGTGCAATATGATATATGATTCATGTCGAAAAGCTGAAATATAGAAATACATGAAAGGATGATAATTCAAATGCATAATGTTTCCCTTCATTAACATTCGATTTTTAGGCAAAATTTTAACAATCAAGCTTTGATAGTTTTAGCAAAGTTTCCTTGCTCTCGAGAGAATTCCGGACGCTGGTTTTTACTTTAAAATTCGATGAACTGGATTTTTTATAACCTTTTGAAGAAAAAGCACTCACATCAACAGCTTGGATTTCCTCAAGAACCACTGGTTTACCAATATTTGTAATGTTCATAACAACTTTGAAGATTTTCCCACTATCTACAAGAGATTGACATTTAATTATAATAAAAATGTTTCTTGAATCAATTCATGATACAAGGCAAGAGAAATGTGGTTATAAAATCAAGAATTCTTAACAGTTATAAAGAAATAACTGCATCGAGTAAGCAGCGATGTCCTTGCCAAGTCACCTCTAAGGAAATCGACAGATATAAAAGTGGCTTAAGTCACCTGTCAATCAATATTAGCCAATCAATGAGCATTTGAGTGGAAACACACCCACTGATTGGTCAATTTTTGTTTGAAAGAAGGCTTAAGTCCCTTTAGTATCTGTCGATTGCCTTTAAGAAGTACTACCTATTCGTTTCCTCAGAGAGGCAAATCCCCAACACAAGAAGTATGCTTTCGGAGCATAATAACACATACCTAGACATAGGTAAAATTCTCAAAAGCTACAAGAGCATTTTCGAAACAATTCTTGTATCAAAATTATTTTTCTTCCAGAAAAACCTTCAACTATCCCTAGCTGTAAGATTTGCCTTTCTAAGATGCTAAACACTTTTAAAATTAAAGCCAATGTGATGCCGTCTGGCTGATGATAGGTAATGGCAATCAATACTAGCATACCTGTGCCTGCAAACAATATGTGCTTCCCAGGATCAGTTTTGTTTTCTTCTCTATGAACATCTTCAACAGTGATTGACGTAACCCTGTGGCAAGTATAATACAATATAGATGAGCTTCTTGTAGTGTCATTCGAGCTAATCTTTTCTACGTAAAGCATTGTAGTATTAAGCATGTTTTGATTTTGTGTAAGAGAAACCCATTGTAAAATTACACACAATGCAATAGCAAAATAAACCAGGTTAAAAACAGATGTTAGCTGACAACTGATAACGGTCATCATCCCAGACTACTTGAGGATATCATACAAATGCCATTACTTCTATGTTTACAACAAGAATCACACAAAAAATCCCATCCATTTGTAGCGAAGTTCTTTTGATAGAGTCTGAGGACCATGAAATGCAAACTAGTTTACACTGGGCACCTAGAAGAGAAGGCAAACAATGATAGTACTAACCTTTCACTGAATGTTGTGACAGTGTTGCGGTCAAACGGTTCATTATCACTATACAGCAGAGGATTCGAAGTAATCCATACTGAGTTTGGGGAGGTGATCGACACTGTATTCAATGATTCATCGCACTACAATGAACAATGATTATTAACTTTCAATATGAAATACTAAATATCTCTACTTCCCAAAGATGATGGATTTTTAAGAAATGCCTTGAGAGTTCACAAAATTTGTAACATCTGCAAACATCAAATCATCAAAACGAGAAAAGAAACCAGTGATTTGCAGACAATCATTGTAATATTGCGAAGTGTTTAATATTGCAGGTCAAGATTTATATCAAAATAGTTTTTAATTGTTAAAACCGCAATGTTAAGTAATGGGTTGCCATTATCACAAGCATCGGCTTTGGATATGACCAAAAAACTCAAATCGAATATTACACTGTAGAACCAAGAATCCTTAATTTCCAAAAGTGCTGATAAAAAGCTTAAACATTGATTATCCACAGTCAAGGCTTCTGACACGTGCTTTACCGCAGATAAGATGCGGGGAAATTTCACATAATGAAAAGCCTGAATATTATGTCAGTAATTTTTAGATACAATTGACCAATGAGGTGACGAATCGAAGTAATCCCCTCTCTGACGAAGCTGGCCAGCAGCTTCCCTAGAAATAATATTACCACTAAAATTACCTTCATCCTGCTAACATCAAACTTTGAGTCCGGATGGTTTTGCGGTTCATACTTTACAGTTCCACCATCCGTTTTCTTCACGTAATACTGACTTGTCTGGAACAGATTCTGAATATCTTTGAATTTGTAACGGCAAACGGCGGAGCTGCCAGTAGCGCGCCTGAAATAAAAAAAATGAATTCAGAAAATTAGATGCTTCTTAAAATCCACTTCATCAGAATTTGAACCGTTATCCTTTGGACTGTCATATAAAGCAAAGTGAGAAGAGAAGCTAAATTTGTCACACTTGCAAAGATATATATGCTAAAAAATGGAAATTAGCATGTCAATCGATAACATAAAAGAGTTAGATATGGACGATGGAACCTACATAGTTGTTGTGAAGGATGCGTAAATGAAGACTTCAGCTTTTCCAGCTTTGTCATGAACAGTGACTGCAGTTGCACTCTCTAAGAACAAAACATCATGATATTACGGTACGCCCTCCAAACCAACAACACTTAATTTGCAACAAAGGGTACGGTGAACAGAACATGAGCCCCTAAAGAAAATGGTCCTCGTTTTCACCTCAATGAAACAGAATTATTACATAGTAGCGCATGTATTGATAGACTGACGTTTATAGGCAAAAATGTACTTCTAATTACAACAGAATTCGCTTCGAGCTATTTTCCCTCATCAGTGCTCGACTTTTTCAAATGAAATTAAAATGATTTTATACAACCAGGACAAACAAATGGCGGTAGTTCATAGATGTACAAAAGTCCAGGGACACGGAACAGCCAACAGATTGTATGATATGAATTTATAAAACATAGAATAACTGTGAAAGAAAGATATATTGAACTAGTTGGGGATACACTTACGGATGTGATCGTAATAATCGCGTACAGCGCCCTTCTCATAACAAATTATCTGACTTTTTGAAAACGAGATAAAGGCGTTGTCAGTTAAGAATGATCCTTTGTCGTACTGAAATAAATATAAAACAATGAATATAGTTATGAAGAAAATAAAACTATTATGGAAAATTCAAAAATATAACAATTACATGTTTGGCAAGAAACGTTATGACTGGATTGGTAACTGAAAATTGAGCTAGTCTGCAGCCTCCGTATATGCAAGAAAAAACCAACGAGAAGCATATCAACTACGCAAAAAAGCAAGGCTCACCGAACAAACACGTCCAACTCTTGAGTAAACCATCTAAAAGAAATATATTTCTTAATTAGAAAAACAGCTAGCACAACGCCCCCAAAACCAGCTCTTCCGATGTCACACGTTGCTGGCAAAAGTCAAAATATTACGTGTCTGAGAAAATTCTGCCCCATTGATAGGGCTGTCGGTATTCTTTGTTGACGGGGGGATTTTTGAGATTTATAACCAAGTAGATTATTGCCCTGAGCAACTTGTGAAAGATTCATGAAATGAATGTAGCAAAAGCCTTTCCCGAGAGCATATTTTATCCCAGTAAGTGAAATTCGAAGTTACAAACGTGACACCTACCTGTCTATCTGAAACTTCATCGGCAGTTTCAGAGAAGAAAAAGTACACAAAACCATCATCAGCTGCGTATGAATATACGAAATGGGGATCTATGGAATTAAATGAAGGAAAAGGTTTAGCAAATTAACTAAAGAAAGAGAACATCGAGATAAAAGGTAAAACAAAATTATCTAGAGTTGCCATTTATTAAAAAGATACATTTTAATAACAAAAACTGATCTGTCTTGACATAAAGCCAGGATTAATCTGCCATAATCTCTGCACTAAAGGTTTTTTCCTGAAAGGATTTCTTGCGCCAGAGGCTCAAGCCAAACTGAGCTAAACATAAAAAAGTGACACCTTGTGCCACATTTTTTATAACCCAACCTGCCTAGAATAAGCTCTCTGGCAACCTCTTTGCAAAAGAAAGCCAAAAATTCATCATCGAATATCAAGTCAGAACACAGGCCAAAGACCTAGCCAAACAGGGAGGGAAACACAGACTTACCATTGAATTGAATTGTTGGTTTCCCTGACTTCATTCTGGTATCATCGCTCAAAATTGCACGAAGCGAACTGCGTTTCTTCTCCCTTACGGCAATGGCACCAAATATTCCACCGTTGTCTAAAAAGAGCATGTACGACAATTAAATACCTAAGGCAAATTTGTGGGCCAATACTGTGGGGTTTCCGGCGACTTAAAACTTTTTAAGTACGTCTTTATTAAGACTTAACTGCTTGAGCTAAAATGATATTCAAACGAGGGCTAGAGAGTGCGTGATGTTTAACCAGGGTGCAATAGAAGAGCTAGAAAATATAATATATATTAACAGGTTATGTCAGACCGCGCAGCTAGAATTGATAGAGACAACAACTTACCAACCAAATAAATTTGTTTAAACGACAGTAAGACAAAACATTTTCGGTATTGAGGCAAAAGAAAGTCAGTTTAGGGGAGCAAACACAATAGGCTAATAATCTAAATCCGATTTCAATTTACCAAGGCAAAATCAAGCGAAACTGAAGTGATAATGTTGCAATACAACGTCTTAAATCCTGGCATTAGGACTAGTCTTTCAGTTCAATAATAGACATGGGTGATAGAAGTAAAGGGGGAAAAGGCGATATCACGGTGTGCGATTCGTTCAACGGTCAAGAGTACGTGAATAGATTAATAGCGCAAAGAAAATAATTGAGGCAAACATCCAGCGAATAAATAAGTAACTAAAGGAAAACAGCAAATTCAAATAAAAATCAAAAGGCGGTCATTTTAACAGGTGGAAATGAAGTTATCATGAATATGAACCTCGATAAAATCCAACTTCAAATTTATTAGGCAGTCGAAGAAACTGAACTAGTGGATGATTGAGTCAAATTTGGCTTACAGCAATACAATTCAGGAGTGCAAATGCTAGTCATACAGATCTTTTAAAATCGGAACATTGATAATATTAGTAAAAAGTTTAGATTTCTATACCTGTTGTAGTACCAATTATACTTCCACTGGGCAGATTAGGGGTGAATTCATTGGTTGCATCGAATTCTCCATTAACTTGCTTTGTCACCTTGAATGTCCTGCTCTGTTAGAGAAGGATTAGAAAACCTCTTAAGATTGCTCATTCTGCATCTTTTTGCACAGATAGAGACGAAATCGTTTTAAAAATATAGCTCTAGCAGAACTGCAAAAACAAAAAAAGCATTTTGACGATATAATAAACAATTATCAGTTATGAAAAAGGGGCTCCATGGAAACTCAGGCAACAACGACGATGGTTCACTTTGCAGGCCTTTTTCCATAGTGTTCTCAAATTATGTTTTCTGGTGACTACAAAAGTTGGCAGAAAAAGGCAGGTTTACATACCGAAACGAGCCAGCATCGCCGAAGAAGCGAGTACGTGCCACATGCAAATATGTCAGATGAGGTATTATATATTGCAAAGAGCATGTAGTTGGGACAATCATTCTACGATAAAACAGGGAAATAGAAGAAAATTAACACTCTAATGAAATTAGATTTGTAAACAATTGAAACGCTTTATAACAAATTGAAATCAATGTCTTAAATTTAAGGAGCTTGAAAGCACGAGACCTGGTGATGATCTTACCTTCCCTCTATTTGCAAAGAATGTTGCATATATATTATCTCTGTCACAGAATAATGAATGGAAAGCAACAGATGCTCCAAATTTTTCTTATGCCCTTTCTTCTAAATATCAATATTTTGGGTATAGGATTTAATGCCATTCGGAACTGAATAATGTTTAGCATTCCATGATCAATTCAGTCTACAGGAACGATTTAACACATGCACAATCAAAGCTTGGAATTTGCTTAGGCCATTCATAAGTGCTACTTTAAAAACAGTAGGAATTTCAGACATATCGTCGGGCATACCTTCTCGATCCTATTTGCAATGCATCGGTCATATGACCTCTTTTCCACCGGCATATGCAATACCTAAAGAAAGGTGAATAATCTTATCAAGCAGCAAAACAGAAAGGGATACCTAATGCACATATCCTTGTTCTCCTTCTTTTTCTGATAGTTGCTTATAACAAAGATACCCAAACGAGAATAGATTATCGATTTAAGACAAAATTAAGCAAAATAGATGGTTAACAAAGTATATGCTAGAAATTTCGATAAAAATTGGAAAGTAAATGGGAGATATCTGGCTTGTTAATTTTTCATCTACCAATCCTTCAACAATGATGGACGGAGTTACATAAAGTTTAATTGTACACAAGGGCTATTGATAATGATAGATGATGACGAAATCACTTTCGCGTAAAAGCTTGGTACTGGCTGCTGCAACAGCATCAGGTTCAGAGTCTCAAAGCATGAGCTCCTTCATGCAGAGAGATTCGCCAGTTTGCAAATTGAATTGGTTTATGCAGGTCATCTTATCCTGCTTTAAGTCGCTAGATCAGGATGCAAACAATGGATCGAAACGGAAGAGGTCATCTGACATACACAGTGCACTCGTATCAGTTCTATCTCAACGCAGCCAACTCAGTCATATTTACAGGCATGCATACAGTTAACATTAAACAAACATAAATATTCATCGTAATAATGCTTATCATGACAGTATTGATGAGATTTGTAAATCAAAGGTCTATAGGATAAAGTTTTGATCGTTTATCAAGAGCTGAAAATCAGCTGATCAAATGCTCTCAGTGGTGACTCTTGTGTTGACGCTGAAACTAAGAGGGGTCTGTGTAAGAGGGGTCTGTGTGAACAGTTTAGGAAATAGCTGGAGCCACACCTATGCTCTTAGTGTCTTGCCAATTGACTTTTGGCCAAGAGGCCTTCTTTACATTTTCACTCACTCATACAATCATAAACATTTCGCCGTCCAAGAAATAAAGTAGCAGGACAAATCGTTGATCCTGTTGGGGGCTTCAGATTATTGCGAAGCGTTTAAACTTACAATTGGTTCTCAAGTAGTAGACATGTTTCAAAAACAAGTTTAAGATGAAAACAGTAGCAACCTAGCCATAAAAAGCCACATTCACCTAGTCCCATTGAAAACTCTAACACTATATTGTCACTTACAAAGTGGCTAGGTCAAAACAAAGTGGCAAGATGAAGAAACAAAGGAACTCACATTTTCACTCACACTTGTATTTTGAATCTTGAAAGTCTCAATGTCCAAACGAAAGAGATACTCCCTTGAAGACAATAAGACGCATTAAGCGAAAAAAGACGTCATGCAAGCAATTTAAAAGCAGCAGATGAAGAAAAAAAGGCATTTGCTACATATAAAATATGTCGGTGTCTTTTAACAAAGGCATGGGGGTTAACCTAAAGGAAAAAGAATAACTTTCCTGCGAAGAAACTTCTAACGCAGTTTAAATTAAAGTTCTCAATTAGTCTTGCAAAGAAACTTACTTGGCAGCAACCAAAATATCTGTTTTATTTGGGTTCAGTTCGACACTTTTGAAATCAGTCAGAAACTTGGCGTACTCAGACCCAGGTTCCGGAAAACGTCGAATGCTGCTACCTGGAGAAGATGGTATTAAGGTTACACTTTTATACAGGTGGAATAGGGTAGGGGAGCAAAATTCTATAAATCGTCGAACATGTTTTTGGTTGTTTATGTAGGAATATCCATTAAACTATATACGTCGCATTGGAATATCTACCTGCGATTTGCTTGCTGCAACCTGTGCATATGATAGTGGGAAAGAGAATGAATGATAGAGGAGAAGAGAAACAGTGGAAGACCACCAAAACGTTGGTGCGACAATATATACGAATGGTCATGTATGGACATTGATGAGCTCAACTACGCAACAAAAGATGAAAGTCAATGGGAAATGCTATCTCGTGTTAGTGCGCAATCTAGCTTAGCTGGAGATAGCGAAACATGATGATGATCTGTGCATAGGAACAGCTCTGACCAACGGTTCCGACATCAGCATGACGCCGACACGATTCGTATGCGACTTTTTATGACAAATTCTCCAATATTCAATGTCTCTGCAACGCCTTTCTCGCTTCTTTCTTGCGATGTTCTACATGATTACTGGGGAAGACATGTTTTTCCTCACGAAAATCGTATTTACAAATTACAAAATCCAGTATCATAACAAAAATCGACTTGAAACGAAGGATCTGCTCGATGGAATGCAAACAAACAAACACGAACGGGCAACACAAAACTCGACGCAAAGAAGATTTCAAATTTCATAATCTGCTACTTTTATTATTGTGAATATTGGTGACCATATGCAGACGCCGATGCATCAATATATGACTTGAATGAACCAGCGTATCGACTAACTCTCGTGGATATAATAAGGATTAATTACGAACCCAAAACTGTCGGTTTTTGAGCTTATCGTCTAGAATCGCCGAAAATGGTGGGAACAGACAACCTAATTTCAGTATATTTTAATTCAAGTTTTAATAGAATATTTTTATCATCGATAGCAAAGCCCTAAGAACTAATTGATGGAATCTTTCAGATCAAACTTATGCTGCAAATTTTATTAGAGAAATTGGTAATTATTCTGAACGAATATTATCACATCAATTATTGATATGATATGTTTTAAATATACAATAACCCTGGTGGGCCTTTGATATCTATGATCATTGAGATTGTTGATTAACCAGTCATGCCGACGGAAAAGTTCTCATCAAAAGAAAATTCCACAAAAATTAAGTCCATAGATGAGCTTAATCAAGAATGCAAAAACCCGGTCGCATATGCTCCAAAAGCAAATGAGTGTATGGTCGAAATAAATCTATGATTACCCATCAATGCTGGATGTTACGTGGCAAAGAGAGCAATGATAAACTATGGAAAAACAAACAAAAGACCATCGCAGGTAGCCTTCGTGAGCTTTCTTCTTCTTCGTAAAAAGCTACCATACATTTTCACGAGGGGTAATTCACTCTTGCAAATAGCGTACGAGATTTTCCCTAAAACAAAAGGATTTCCAGGGATTTTCAGATAAAACAATAAGATTTCCCCAAAAAGTGTACGAGATTTTCTTGGAGTGATTTGCACCTCGAATATTCAATCAGTGGGAATTTTGGCACTTAAATAAAATTTGAAAAAAAGTTTCCAGCACTGTTCCTACTTTCATTTTACATTGAAAAAAGTTCCAATATCCTCCATTCCAAGAAAAATAACGGCAGCCCAACACACCAAACAGGCCAAAAATTTGATAAATTCACCCACTCAATTCTAGTTTCAAGATGAGTTTACATTCGACCTAAAGCATCTAAACACATGAAAAGAAAGCTTCCAGTTTGATCAACTTAGATCGGTTTTAAAATGTTTCCAATAGAAGTTCACTCCAAATTCATTTTTCCTAAGCGAATTAATCACCATATGCCAGGTTAAGCAGTATTTCGAATGCAGTTCTAAGGACAGAGCTACAAATCTATAATTCTCTAAGTCACTTAACATAACAACATTCTATTTCAGGTTTATGGTGATCCGATTGAAGTCTAAGGCCTGAGAGCTTAGAGACTGTTACCCAACAAGTTGAAAAACCTAGCAATACGATGTCCCATTCAACGCTGTTGGTTACATAAAATATAGGAGTGTAGCAAACAATGTTCGCCTTTACTTGATGGCTAAAAAACTAATGGATTCGATGAACGTAACAACAACAACAAAAACAGCAACAGCAGAAACAACATTAACAAAAAATACTACAACATGGGGGCTGTATTCATAGATCGTTGAAGCATTTCGGTTTATTTCTACTAGCGGCCTTGTATAACAATTGTCGGATAATTGGCTGACACACAATTTGACTTTAACAAAATGACAAATACTTTGGTTTCCCACAGATGGATGAATGAAAAATCTTATGAAAAAGTCATGGGAGAATCTTAATCCAAAATTCAAGGAGAAAAATATGTTTAAGGATGTAAGTTCTAACAACAAGTAATCGATAAATCGAATGGAATCTAAATTGTTATGGAAAAGAAAAGGTATAAACCAACCGGTTGGTTGGTCAATAAACATCACTCACTTGTTGATGGCACCGAATGCAAAGCAGAGCCGATTTCAGCATTATTTTCGCTCATATAAAGTATGATCAGCAGCATAATATATAGACAGCTTCGTCCCATGTTTATAATTTTCCGTAAATATTCAGGTCTTTAACTGCGGATAAAACATTCTCGATTAAAATTTTGAATAATCAAAGAGAAGAGTCTTACCAGGAACAACCAGCAGGAATGAAACATTTTTCTATTATTAATTCACCTCCACCCTATCCTCATCCCACAAAGATGCATGACGTCACTAATTCAAATAGACAAACAAACGGTCGTTGACGATTGTGGTCAACATAAATGATCACTCATGCACTCGAGGTTAGTCATAATTCACAAAAGATACTGACGTCATAAGGTTTCAAGTTCCCGGTGAGAATTGGTAACCAACCAGAATATCTTATATTGTTCCTGTAGTTCCTGCAGTGTTGTTTCAATTAAAATCGCAAGGATTCATAAGCCTACAAATTGAGGTTTTCTCACAATATTTACTTTGTATGCACATTTATGTTCCTACGGAAGAGGTGGCCAATGGTTAAAATCTCCATCAAAAAAATGAAAGATAAAATATGACAAAATGAAACAAAAGTGGAAAAAATGAATACTTTGAAGGAAACGAGGAGTTTATGTGGCGTGGTTATTTACGGAAATCGTGCGAATTATTGAGGCAGAGATAATCTTTAAATAAATCGTGAGCAACAGAAGCAAACTCTGATAACAAACGCAAGCGAAACGTGTTGACATGGAAGAAAACGATCATTTGACTTTCAAAAGGAATTATTTGATACGTATTTACGAAAACACACTTAGAGAATAAACACCCATTATAAACAAGACAGAATTACGCAAACAACCAACATCAATGAAAAGGACAGTAACTGCCTCGACAAACTGCAAGTGATGAAGGCCGGCGTAGGCATAGGAGTCAGGGGCCGAGAGGGCTGCATCTCTCCTTATCTGACAACCTTTATTGAACTTAAGAATCCATTCGGGTAGTTCTATTACAATTAAACATTAATATTCGAACAAGATTCATACTAAGCCTCCCCTGAGCCCATGGAAGCCGGGGAGCTTCAATCGGGTTGTACAGCCAGAATATTAAAAAACCTGGAACGCTATTATTCCCTGTCAGAAATATTTCTTGCGATCCTTTTCAAGGTTTCTGAAACTGAATTGACAGGGTTTTCGGGAAAACAAAACTTTTTCATGAAAAATGGTACTCAGTCCGGCCGCTCACCCCTACACATGGATGGAAATGTCCCGCAAGGATAAGAAAATTGAGATAGCTTTTCAAATGAAACATTAGTTCTTGGAAGAGGAATATTGCACAACTACAATGAAAATATTTGTGTTCAAACTTGACCTGGGAACAAAAAATTAAGTAAAAAGTGATTTGTGACGCATAGGCCTACGTTGCACAATTTTGTAAACAGGGGATCAGTCTCCTCCGCACAACATTGACCTAAGTAGGGTCAATAGGCTAACGAACAATGGAAACGATTAATATTAGAATAAATACTGATTAATTGTGTGTATTTCTGCACGTGTTATGTAAATACGAGTTCAATGAAAGGGAATTTACAAGGCAAGTGAAAAATAAAAAATTATGAACTGATTTCCAACCTTCGCATTTGAAAAAACGTTATGGTAGTTTTCTTTTGTTAAGAACCCTTATAAGTGTACAGAGCCTCGCTCCAAACGCGACAGTGAACGCAGTTTTGACCGTTCAATGGGATCAGTTCTGGGCGACCGATTTCCTTCTTACATTTTTGTTTGCAGAATGTAAGCATTTTCTATTCAACTCAAGAATAGAAACCAAAGAAAAAAGACTTCGTCAATCATTCATTTCGTGATGAAGGAGCAGTCTGCCCTACAAAAAACGACAGAGTCGTTCAGAAATAGGGAACGGTAACATACATTTTTGATTTGGGGGTTTCTAGTGAAAGGCGGTGATTATAAATGAAATATTGGGTATGACTGGAACAGATTGCTCAAATATGCTCAAAACACTGGCCTTTAATAAGCTCAGCATTGCATACAAATCTCGAAATCCATACTTTCCTGCTTATTTATGAATCGCTTAAAAAGAGGAAATTTCTTCTAACAAAATCCTAAATAACAAATTAAATGAATCAGTTCAGGATCCAAAACTAAAGTTATGTGTTTATGCATAATTGGATTTATGAAAGATATGACTTTCAATCGGGCATAATTAAATACTCCTAAAGATAGGTGCATTCATGAATGAGAAGCGACATGGAGTCCGTAGAAATTAATCTGAACTGGCTACTCAAAGTAAGGAGCTGCTGATTCTATTACCATAGGCAACACCAGTATTCGACGTTGGGTATGCAAGCTTTCCAAGAACTTAAAAGATCACGCGATATGCAAGTACCATCACACAAGAAACGGTTTCCATTTACAAATGAAATTCACTACCTTTTACAATCTGCAAACAGCAGTGGTTACTCTTCATTCTTATGAAACGGGCAAGGTCATAATAATGAATGGAGCGAAGTTAACCATTGGATGTCAATATATGAAAATGCCAGAGAGTACTAACTAGTCACATGATTGGGAAAGCACGCTGACACTGCCTTGAAATAGTGAATAATGTTTTCTCTAGGGTGCAGAACCTAAATTTCTTTACTGACTAGATGTTTTTTTGTTAATTGATTGTTCTAAGTTGAAAAGTTCAATGGAAGTTCTCTTCTGATCAACAGATTCATGCTAACGAGTCCCGCAGGAATTCCTCCCCAGGTGGACCCCTCGATGTATGCCTTTGAAACAGTGCTTTGAAGGTGAAAACAAGGATGCTTCAAAAACTACTTTGGATACTAGAATATGATGTTTTGATTAAAGACAAAATGACAGTTGGAGTCGTTTCCCTTAGCATTCACATAAAAGTGCTCTCGGCAAAATATAAAAGAGGGATGAAAAGAAAGAATATCAAACTCGTGATATGTAAAGGAGAATATATTTACATTGGGCATATCAGTTGCTTGCAATAAACACTGCCTATTACTAAAGACATAATAATATTTGCAAAAATTTCATGAAAATGATATTGCTAAAATGGAAAGGTTCTGTTACGATATCGAGAAATATCTGTGAAGGTTTTGATTGAAGGGCTTGGCTATTCCAAACTGTATCCCAAAATGGTGTATTTTGTTTCCCACTGCGGTAAAAACTGAAAATTAACGCAGTAGAAGGATTAGTTTCTTAGGCATTCGACATGTAGCATCTTTCAAGTATTTCACTGGTCTCCCATCAACTGAAATCTTCGGTATACGCCCGTACACGCCAATATAAACATTGCGGCGACGCCCCTCGATATTACGCGTGTTGGGGGGTAGAAAGAAAAATGTAGGTACATAGAAGTGAAGTATGTATGAGTAACTTACGGTTAAACACAATACATTGACTGTATTTGGCTTATGTGTGGAGAAATCCAAGAAACGTAGAGCCATTCATGAACGCCTCGACCAGTCACTAAGTAGTAGCGATAGTGGCTGCTAAGCTGTCCAACTTTGCACAACTAAATCCATAAGAAACGCACGCGAAATGCACCTCGCTGCGTCAATCTAACAAGATTCAACAGTTAATTGCATTATAGTAAACAAGAACCCGCGCAAACATTGACGAATGTCTCCATTAAACGAGACGGCGGTTTGAGGAAGGGCAGCACGGTTGCTTGCGCATTATTGTTTCAGGGACAAAGAGACACAATCGCTTTGTACAGAAGAGTAATCGCATTGTTATAATGAAAAGCTTAATTTCTAGAGCTGCTGTGTTCAGGCGATAAAAATGAAAATAAAAAATTCAAAGTAATGCCCTCAGAACATTATCAACAAACGAGAGCCTAATTCCGCAGCAGTGCCAATATATCTTGGCGCAAGAAAAATCGAAATAATTTGGTTGGCAGCAAAGTGATTTCCTGACCATTGACTGGCTTTTCTTCAATTCAATAGAATTTTCAGTCTGATTATTTCTGTCAGCTTTTTGAGACAAGGCAAAAGACCTTTCATCTACACAAGAAACAGAAAAGACGGGCAGCAGAGCATTAAGTTTACTCGCACATCTAAAACCTTTGGGATAATCTTCATATGTCTGCGATTAAATTTTTTTTAAAACTTTTCACAACATCGACATCATGATGACAAAAGCTTCGCAAAAGAATAATAGGAGGCTCGAAATCGGATACATTTATGCACAAAGAAGTTCTGTCAAGGAAAATTTATTGGTATTCACTGGATATCAAAATGAGGAATGTGACACAGGTACCTTGGACAGTGTGGGACTTGCACACCTGAGAGTTTGAGGAGAGCAATTGCACGCGTGGAAACTAGAAGACAATTCCATTGCACACCTGCGATCTGGTCTAGAATTGTCTTGAATTTTAAGCAGATACAATAAAACAGGTTGTAACATTTACAGTAACTCGAGGATGGAGATAAAACCAGAGGACATTGAGATTACGATTAAGATAACATAAGTACCCAACTTGTTTTCAGTTTCATTTCAAAGAAACACAAAGAAAAAATTTAATAAACTGCTCATGAATTTTGACCATACTCAAATTTGGCCATCAGTCAAGAAATATTCAGTACTGAGCAATTCATTTGGCCTCCGGGGGTCTACATTGGAGAGAAATTACATTGGAGAGAAATTACAGGAATATGCCTGCCAGAAAAAATTATAAACCTTTCCTAGAATAAAACTCTTAAAACACGATACCTTTCCTTGAAAAAGATCCAGGTAACTGTTGGTTTGCCTAATTCAGTTTTACTGAAATACATTTTTGAATTGATATTGAAAGTTAACCTCTTCTTGAATTCCGACTTTGAGGCTTATAAGAATAACTTTATTTTCAGCTAAAATTTCTTACAAAATGTGTGGATTTCCAGCAGCGAACCTATGATCATTCCGATTTCTATGTACCAATTACAACGATAAATAAACCAATGTTTTATGGTTGAATTTCACATTTGTGTGCAAAAGACTGAAGGGTAAATAAACAAACAAGGAGCACAATAAGTTTATATTAAAATATTAACTTTCGGGTTTCTTTCTAAATTCAGAGTTTGACAAACTTTACTTTATTGTCAAAACCAAATTAGAAAACATGACAAAAAATCCTCAACATTTTTGTACGACGAAGTTTTCCGTTTAGAGTTTCCTTAATTACTATTTTCCAAATGCAAATGATTTTCATGCAGGTGTGGGTAACCGCAAGTGTTCTAGCTGGATAATATAAAACCCTAATCACATAAATCTGAACCACCTTTAAAGAATAAAGCAGTCATGAAACTACAACGCGGTAAAGACAAGATCTTAATACCGTAGGAACAAGACAAGGAGCCCCTCTTCCTAAAATCGATCACTTGCTGCATAATTAAAAAGATTTAATTGTTCTTTTCTCCACTATTTTACTCTGCTTTCTTGGTCTCGTGTTGCCATATTGTATAATTTATTCCACGAGTCTCTACTTGAGAACGAGACCACTCACACACCAAACAGTACGCGTGAGAAGTAAAATATACCGATGGAAATGGAAGATCTTACAAAGTCGTCAGTATTTTACCTAACTTCGGCCGATGTTACCATCCATGTATTTTGTCAACCAACTAATGAAAGGCAGGGTGATGTCCCCCAGTCCAAAAAACCCCGTCTGGGGCATATTTCAACAGCATTTGGATCAAGGTGTAGCAATGTTTGGTTATCGGACAAAAAGTGTTATACAGAGAATTGGAATCCGGATTCGCTTGCTAATAAACATTTGAAAAGTAACACACACTAAAAGTTTTTTCAAGATCCTGCTATAACATCCCTATATAAAGCATGTCCTCCTCCCTTTCCAAGATACCCCTAGATCAGCGCCATTTTGCTGCACAGTCTTATTCAATTTACCTACAGAAGATATGGATTTACAGTAATGCTTTTCACTGGTGGGGTAAATAGGTGGTAAAGTCAAGATGACAAAGGAAAAAAGGACAAGCTAGCAGGGGAGAGGTTGTCTAAAAGAGGTATTTCGCGAGAGATTTAGTAGAACGGTCTTGCGAAGGAAAAATACGGAGGAGAAAAGAAATGAAAAAGGATCTGAGTTAGTTGAAAGTGGATTAGCTGAGATTTCCATCCAAAGACAAACAGAAGAATTTAAATGCGCAGAATTCTCTATTTTCTACCCATCCAATCAAAAATGCTTTCAAAGAAACATCTAGAGCCGTGATTGAGAGATACCAGAACGAGATCGCATTTGGTGTTGTTATAAAAAACATCCTTTGTTTAAAAGTAGGACAATCTCCATCGCCAGTGTAATGTTTTGTACTTAGGTGGCCTAAATAGGCGGTTCCAAAAATTGTGCAGAGATCATAACTTGTTTACTCCATTTCTACGATATGATCAGCAAACATGTGTGTACATAATAAGCTCACAAAACGAAGGAACTGGGTCGAGCGACCATCGCATACTACATAAGAATGGGATTACAAATATATTATTATTATTATCACAATATTAGTATCATGATGGTTTGCAGTAGCTTGAAAGAGGGAAACAAAATACTAAAGGTGCGGTGAATATATAAATAGCAACTACTTTTCCATTTTATGTTAATTAATACGTTAACAAAAGGTAGGATAGAACCGACCAAAGCAAGAAAGAACTTGGTACTAATAATCGTATTCAAAATCAGTACAGAAACATACCATTTGCAAGTGCTTTCCTTGGCGTTAAATGCAGCTTCGATAGCAATCCCTACAAATTAAGAAGTAGATGTCAACTGTTTGCAAATAAACGGCACTATGCGAGGCTAGCCACTCCAATATACGTTGCACAAAACATAAAACATTGCACAGGAGCCATTGCAAATATTGGAAAGCACTTTGATCATTAACAAATCCATAGCGACAGAAAATGTCCTTGAGCTGGTTTAAGCTTCGGACAGGATTACTGTAAGGAAATCGTACTATAAGCCAGTCTTAACTTATTATGAGACGAAAGGGCTTACAGCCAATGGGGAAATTTTATCTTAGCGCTTTCAAACTTGATCTGTATTAGAAAAACATGAAACTGGGTCATGAGCTTTGAATGCTTGTAAAAAAAGGATTGCTAGGCCCAATTCGAAATAGCATGCAAGGCCTAAACGAGCTTGAAATGGAAAGCATTGGCTTGGACAAGGCTTTTTATGTTCATATAAAACTACAGCCTCATTTAAGTTAAAACCTATCGAAAAGAAGCTCAAGAAAACATTCTAACCAAAAAACCAGCTTAAAAGATATTTTTGATTCTACCATTGCGTTGTAACAAGATAACTTTCATTTCTAAAAATTCGTTTCATGCAGGAATACTGAAATAATTCCGAGAAAGATGAAGGAGTACTGTTTAATCCAGTATTTTCAACAGTCCTTCTTTACAGATAGACAACCCAAAAGCACCATTGCGAAAGGCATCAATGATTGACATTGTACACGGTGGCCTCATTTTCAAAGCAGAAGTCTAAACCTTGAACATGGATATTTCAGTGCTTGGCACCGTGAAAATTAAAAATAAAGAAAGAAAGTGCAAGGTGAATCCACACTGGTTTTTTTAAGCAGATAATTTGATGGACAAGGAAAAAGAGCGTAATAAATGGATTATTCTTTCCTCATTAAAAGCAAAAGAATATTAATGCTTTCGCGTCGTATCGGGGAATCCTATTTACTGATCAGTGCATATCTTTAGAAGCACAACGAGAGTCAAGCTGGCAGATTTAAATTCCGCAGTTTTACAAAGGTTGTTGCTATGAGGTTTGCAGGCAGCTGTAAAAAGACTTATAATTTTACCAAGGTTGATAGAGTCCATCAAGATTCAAATCAGAGAAAATTAGAGAGTCACTGTAATGAAAAGACACTCCGGTGACCTAGACGAGATATCTATATAAAATAATCCTTTTTTAGGATTTAGTTTGGCATTAAAAGATAAGATAGAATGGAAAGGGGAATGTGGAGATCACTGACAAAGATTTGAAAATGAAAATCAGAATTTCTTGGCGGATTGTGCGAGTTGATTTAGGCACAGTATTACAACTATCATAATGACTCTACGATGTTTGACTAAACTTCATAAATTACACGTTGAGAATGTTACTTCTCAAAAATTGATGCATCAGTGGATGAATTCTTTGTTGGAACAAAATCATCTGCTAATATCAAAATTATTTTCCATATATAACATATATCCTTTTCACCAGCGACGCGCCTCTTGAATTCTTAGGACAGTATTCTCACATATCAACAAATCAACAACAACAACGAATAATCAACAAAAATAGAGGCAACACCTTTACAATCTAGATGCATTTGCAGCATAAATGAAAAACGTACAAAACTAGTAGTGACTCACCAACATTGCACATGTGAATCTAAGTGGATGGGAGTTACTCAAGACCTAAGTTGCCACTTTGAATCAGAGCTGAACTTTTTTAAACACCAGTTAGCAACAACGACGAGATTTTTTTAGAAAACCGTTATGAATAAATGATATGGACAAAGGAATTTGTTCAGCTCCACCTGCTCTCGTACTAATACTTTCCAGTTTGGTTCGTTATTTAAACCTTCATGACCTGCTGTTTTGAGTATCTTGCCTGAATGACTGCCGGCGCCCTTTTTCCTCTTAAGTTTACTAACATAGATGCCCATATGAATAATGAATGGCATTTGTAAGACATCCTTTATTCAATTGTTTGCGATAATACAACGAAAACGGTGGCACGCATAGTTCATATTAATAAGGAAGCTGTACTCAAGAATTATTGCAGCACCGCGAGGAGTTATAGCATATTATCCTATGAAGCGAATGAGTCTGCTAAGAAGAAAAATACTATAAACAGCCACAATACAATCTTGAGATACGGCATTTGATAAGAATACCCATAAGCTGCAGCGTACACTAATGTTATTGCAAGGATTGGCATCGCATCTACGCTAAGAAGATACAGGCACTGCGTCGGCAATCAACTTACAGCGTAACTACGAAATCAGAAAGCCGAACAAGATCGTGCAAAACTGACGTAGGCTGCCTCGATTTGATTGCTTGCGTGCTTTTATAGGGCAACTTTCCTGTACTTCCTTGCCTCGGCTGCAAAACAAATGGCAACGCCTTGTTCGTCAAGCACTGGCGGGCTTTTTATAAACGATTTCCGTTCGTTTGCTGCATGTTTCATTAATTTCATAAAGAGATATACCACTTCCCTCCAGAAGTATAATGACGTCTATACACAAAATAAACAGAAATCTAAGAATCCTTCCGTCGACAGTCAACTTAGCCTCTCATTTCATAACACTCAGTCTATTTCACCTTGCTTCTCTTTTAAGGGCCTGGCTTGGTGGGGTATCGAAAAAAATGGCAACCAATCACGACCTACCCTAAAATGCACGCTCACGATAATCGATTTCCAAAAATTGTTTGCCACACCCACTAATCTATAAAAAATTGTAGAGCCACCGACTGATTCAGGGCGAGCTCTTTTAGGCCCATTCGGCGCCATATTGCTTAGGCAAAAAATGTTGTTTTTACTAAATTTGCAATTTCGTTATTAGAGTCTCCATCTATGCCTTTAAAATCCGGGTCGATCGTTTGCCTTGGCCTAAACGATGCCCTGGCAAAACACAAACACTGGAACGAAACACAAGAAAAAGGTTTCACAAAAATAGACCAGAGCTAAATAAAACAAAGCTGTTTACCGTGAATTTCAATCATTTACGTATACCTCAAAAAGGCCAAGATCTTTTAGCTCATTATCTGAAGATGTGCTTCTCAAAACTTTTAGTCGGCCCTATAGCTTCTTGGATCCGAGCAATATCAGCGCAAAAGGCCATTTCCAGCCTTTTTGGACCAGTGGCGAAGCATCTTTCAACATCCTAAGAAAACTAACGACACACGCAAGAATTAAGGGGTATGGTCACCTGGGAAGGCTAGCTTCTAGATAAAAAAATTACCAAAACATTCCTCAACCGTGCTCAAGAAAGATGCATCGTTGGGTGGAGATTATGGTCTTCCGATCGCCTGAATGTACCAAAAGAAAAATCGCAATTTCTGAATACTTTAAAAGTTTCCGGCTTAAAGCTGCATCTATTATAAGTATAAGAGACGTAGGAGGAAAGGAAGGAAGAACAACACCTACAGCCCCTTGCCCACTTTTTGATGAATACAGATAAACAGTAAGAGCAGCCGCACTCTCGTTTGATATCAAATGCACCCACTTTGGAATATTTGAAAAATAGTATCCATTTTGAAATAGCTAGTTTTTATTGTATTCCCACAATGGCCCGTATATCGACACAATGAGAAACATCGAGACGTTTTCTAATGTGGATTGGGGGTGAATTTCGGAGCAAATAATGTTCATTTGAGAAAATCCTTTTTCTGTGAGATTAATAGGGAATGTATTTAACTATTTAACACGACGTGAATAAGAAATTCATCGACAGACCGTATGATGAACGTAAAATGTTCACCGTATGAGGGAAGAACACTTTGCATTAACACATTAAAGTTCTCACAGTTTTCTACCATGGTTCACCGAAAGTTTTCAACCATATGTTTGTCAAGAAAATCCTTAAGTATAAATAAACAAGGCAAATAAATATAAGGTCCAATGATATAAAGTGGGTGGTGGGGACATCTACTATAACTTTTAATACTAACATTTGAAAACCAAGAAGCTTATATTCAATGGATATTGAAGATATCTTATCGCACAGCAAAGACTCTTTTGAACATAACTGAATTTGTCAAGAACCTGAAAACGACTTCACAAATTTCGTGCAAATAAATGATTTAAATAATGTATGGACTTTACAACAAATAATCATCGTGGACATTTTTTCAATTTTTTGGACAATTGAGGTTTAACCTCGAGACTATACAGAGAGTATCGGCAACCACAACAACCTAAGCAATGAACCAATCATAACAAGAATATGGATAAGGTCTTTTTAGTGCAAATCTATTCATCACAATCGGGTGAAAAGAAATAAGGCTTATCTCATAACTGGTTGCAATGTGTTAAGTTTGTGAATAAAGCAGGGATTATTAGCTTTCCCAATATGATTTTGCTTGTGGCAGATAAAGACCAGATGACCAATGGCAGCAAAACTTACAAGTTAGAATTTTAAACAAGGCGAAGAATATTGTAACCTATTCTGCAAAAGGCTTTTTGGTCTTTGAATACCAACATGACAGGAAGTAAAATATCAGTCATTAGGAGGAGGCATTATTATATTATTTACGAAAGGTTGTTTGCTATCCAGAACCAGGAGATGTGATCGCGTGGCGGCATATGCTAATAACCATCAAAGCAAATATGTACGCGGAAGCAGCCCACCGTTTTATACCAATAGGCCGTCGCCTGTCATCTTGAACTTACACATCCGTTGCACATATCGCGAGACTGAAAAATTTCTTTGGAAGAAGGATATCCTTTTATCATTTTTCTGCAACCCCCCCCCCCCTCCCTTTAAAACAGAGCCATGAAAAGTTTTATCACAGAATCTTCTTTTATTATCGCATAAGTAAAAAATACCCCAGTTAATCGTCCACTGTGTTGATGGATTACAGTGCATCTACTGGGTGCATCGAAAAATGATTAAAATACATTGATGTCCTAAATATTGAATGCTAAATATTAACGGTGCACAGAGACAAAATTCTGAAGACCAAA